ATGCCTCAAATGTTTTCTTCATTCTGCTAAGGCAAAACTTTATCAATATACCCGGACGCTAAACCATTCGACAAGAAAACATTTTCGAAGAATTATAAAAAATTCTTTGATCTGTGGAGATTCCAAAATAACAAAAGCATAACGATATTAAATGACTACCACAATCAAATTGAGTAGGTACTCACGTCGAGAGAGCCTACTTTTTACTTTGCACATTCAAATGAACACTATTATGTATCAAAACATTGAGAAGTATTTTTAAGGGACCAACGAAAACATCAAAGTCGAAAGCCGGAAGAGTCAATTTATTATAACATTGTGTAATGCAATTAGCAAATGAGATTTGTTAATGAATTAATGAATTTCTTTTATTTGTAAGAAAACCGCATTATTAAAATACTAATTTATGGAATTACCTCTTTTTGTTAGTAATTTAGACGCAAAACCGCTATTTACACAAAATTTAATTTATTCATTATTAAAACGTAATATTTTTTATAGACGTACATAATTATATCAATACATTTACGTTAAACTTTGTTTTTGACGCTTTGCGCTTAAAGGTTAAAAGGTTTATCAACTAGTTAAACATCCCATATTGCATATTTTGAAAGTATGTATTTGTTTTTAGAAACAGGTATCTGCTAATCTTAAGTGGATTAATTTTACTATGTGCGATAGAACAATAACTACATTATGCGTAAATTTTGAATGGATTTAAATAATGTCCTTGATTTAAATCAAAATTTTCGTGCATACACTATTATTTATTTGTTATTTTTATTTATTAGTAAACAAACATTAGTCACATTCCTTGGTTACAACACACAAGCTAAATAATTATATTATTCTATAATTTGTACATATTATATTATATTAATCTGTTAAAATGTCATATGCACATTAAAATTAATGTTCGAAATATTTTGTCGATCAATACCAATAACAATAGAATCAGTATTTCTTACACAAACTATTGAATATTAGATTATTTTTTGAATATATTAATACTATACAGTAGCAAAATTTATAACATAGTATATCGAATATTCTTTATAGCATAAGAAAATATTAACAGTAATTATTAAAATAAATATTTAAATTAACATTTTAATGTGATAAGTGTTGGCTTGATGGCTCAGCATCAGCAGGCCAGCGAACTCACTTCGATGTGAGTGTAGTAGGTGCATCATTCCAGTAAGAAACTTTTCAAATGTCACAATATAAAACTCGAAGTGAATCTGTGGCTTTGAATGACAATGAGGGCTATCTTTGTAGTTTTGCATATAGGCAGAAAGACAAAAAATATATATAGAATTAATTGTTTTTCAAAATATGTCCCACCGAGATCAATACACTTTTACATACATTCAAACCAATTGGTAAAACAGTTATTCCAGTCTTCATTTGACACCTGCAAAAACGATGGCATTTTCTGGTCATCGTGTAGAAAAAGTTGGGACTTATGTCGGAGCTATACGGTGGATGATTTAACAATTTGATGTTTTGAAGCTCCAAAAACTCTATTGTCTTTTGGGCAGTATGAGCACTTGCATTGTCCTGATGTAGGATAATTCGCCGTTGTGTGTTGCTTTGTCGGGGTTTCGCGATAACTTCTGGTAAACAGACAGTTATATACTAATCAGAAGTAACTTCTTCGTTCTTCAATCTTCTAAATCAATTGTTGCCACATGACCAGATTTTCACACAAAAGTTGTGATCATATTCTTGGACACAATTCGACAACGGATCACTTTTGTTGGTTTTTCCTCATCGTGAAATACCCACACAGCGGACTGGCGTTTATTTTCCGGTTCGTAGGAGTAAATCCAAGATAGCTTTTTGCTCTTCTGTAAGCAAATGAGGGATCCAACGGGAAACCAACTTCGTAACACCCAGTTCTTCATGTAGGATCTTTTGGACCGATGTCTTTGAAATGTCCAAAGATGTTTCTTTTTCTGGGTATGTTACTCGGTATGTTTTGCTGTTACTGCTGTTTTGTAAAAATTCACTGTATCTACAGGACTTGTTATATCACAATGAAACACTCAATTTATGTTAACAAAAATTGAGGTTACATTTGTGTCGGAAATGTAACCTAAGCGGCTATGTATGTATATGCAAAACTAAAAAGAAACCTTGTGATTCCCGAGTGAACCAGATTGGCATATGAATAAGTAGTAAGTGACATGAGAGGTACGGTCTCGCGAATCGGTGACGCTCATTCATTGCTGAAGGCGTTCACGCGCTAACTTCTATGAGCTCTGCACAAATCTGTAAGCCTTTATATTAGATTTCCTTAGACTTTATTACACCAAAAGTAACGCTATCTGTACTGGTGCAGCTGCAGTATGAAAGTAGTAAAAGAGGTATCTTACAAATACTTACGATAAATACAGTAATTTTATACATTTTCTCTACACTTTACGTCAACCTTGTAGATTCAGCAGTTTTTTATCAACAGACTTGGCCTAGTAATGAGTTGATGTGTAATAGAACCTTTATGTTATAAAAGGGAAACAGACAAAAATTGGGCCACTCAGTAATCTTAATATAGTTTAATTTAGGTCAGCATGTTGTAATTAAACAGATGTTACACATAGTCAACAATTTCACCATGCAGATCCCAGTAAACCGTGTTACATTTTTAATTAAGAATTATACAAATCATTAGTTATACATTATAAATAGTGTGTCATCAGTAAAGATGTAAGAAACAAGTTATACATATATTCTAACTCTTCATACCGCAAAGGTGAGATCCTGAGAGAGCAGGAGAATGGCTAATATGGCAGAATGCCTACCCCAGATTTATTCAAACCAATGTTCCATTATGCAGGTCACAAGGGAATACACTGTAATGGGGAAGGTAATAAACTTGTTAAAAGAGCATCTGTTACAAAATACTTCAATCCAGAGCCAACCTTAGGAGTCCCAAACAGCAATGTCTTTTCTGGCCTAATGAGTGGCGAAAAAAATTTGAAGAAAGGAAAAGACTCCAATTGTAGTTACATCTCCACAAATGTTTGAATATTATAGAAAAAAGGAAGAGAAAAAAGACTTATAGAACAAGAAAACGAGAAGAAACAAACAGACAGGGAAGAGAGGAAAAAAATCAAATAAACCAATTTCTAGATCATGATTGAATGACAGTGATGCCAGCTTACCAAATTAGGTAGAATCTGATTGGCAAGAAGAAGAAAAAGATGATGATGACCAGAATGACATGAGAACTTTAATTAAAGAAGGCTAAAACATTAAAGAAGGGGACTTCATTCTAGTTAAGTTTATGGGGGAAAAAGGAATACTTCAAGATTTATATACCTGTATTGTGTGCAGCAAAATAATGACTATGAAATAAAAGTCATGGGGTTTAAATCATGTGACTCAACATTACAAAAATTTGTGGCAGATGAAGGAGATATTTCAGTAATTCATTTAAATGGCATTATTAGTGGCTCTACAGCTCCAGAGACAAATATAAAAGACATGAAACATATGTATTCAAAAGAAAGTTGGGAGCCAAAGAAAAATGATGTAGAAAAACTTGAATCACCTATGTTTAGTTCAAAATAAAATTTTATTCATCTCTTGAGTTGTATTTTTAAAGTAATACTAGTGCACTGATAATGGTTCATAATGGGAGGGTCCATAATTGGTTTAAAAAAATGCTATGTTCATAATTGGTTCGAGTACCTTGATAGGTAATTAATAAAATTTTTTTTTTAATCATATAACAATAAAAATCACACCAAATATATCTTAACAAAGGGTTGGAATTTGCCAAAAATTATTTGCTAAAAATTATATCAAATTGAAATTCTTGCTTTATGTTTGACCGCAGTGTGTTAAGAATTCCTTAACCAGTCCATCATTGGTACATCTACCTTAACATACTGTTTAGCATATAGGACTAATATCTCTTTGTTTTCATGTTACATTCAAAATCACAAAAAGTCATAAATTTACTGAAAATTATTACTATAGAAGACTAGTGTCAAAAAAATCCCAAAAACATTCAAAACTAATAGCTTATCTGGGCTCATACACGATGTGTGATTTAGCAGCTCTTGCTTTTGTTAAAAAGTTTAAATAAATAAGAAATTTTTAGATAAAACTTTGGGGCAATAAGCAATTTCGGGCACTCTAACCTAACCAAATATATTTTCATCAAGGCACCACGGCACAGTCTTGCTGTATTAATTTTAGTAAAATATGTATATGAATGTTACAAATAAAGTTACTTTTACGAAATAATAATTTGTGTTATGAGAAGCTACAAATTTTAAATAAGTATAAAACTTGATATATTTTTTTTGTAAAATGTATATGAAGGTTTAAAATATGTTACTTTTACGAAATTATAATTTGTATTATGAAAGCTACAAGTTTTAAATAAGTATAAAACAAATATTTTCTGTTACTTTAAATGAAGTTAAATATTGTAAATTAGCACTTTCCAAATCTTATCTATAAGGACCTTATTATTAGGTGTTAGTTAGGTAAACTTTTGAAGTACAAAGGAATTTTGTTGTATTAATAATATATTTTGTTGTATTAATAATATATCTTTTGTTGTATTAATAATAGTATATCTTGTTTTTATGCCTAATAATCATGTTTTCACAGTTTTTCTGTTAAAATCTTCAAAAATATTCATTTTAATATATCTATATAAATTATTACTTAGTTACACATGCTTAATTGAATTTTTGACCAAATGTGAAAAATGTCACTACATTTTTTTACCATGTTTAAATACAAATAGTAACTAAACTTATTTTGCAATATATTCCTAATTTTAAAATTAGGCTTGTTCTCTCTTTTAAAAAGAAGAAATTATCATTAATTATATGTTATACAACAAAGCTTTCTCTACTAACCAAAAAGGTCATTAACACTTCAAATGATCATCTTAAAAAAAACAAAGAAACATTATATATTTAAGTACCATGTTTAAATTAAATCATTCTAAATGAAACTTTTGAATTGGTACTCACCAATGAGTTGACATCTTCTTCCAATAAATCTTTAATTTCAGAAGCAATAGATTCTGTTTCTGGGTCCCATCCTATTATCCTTCTTTTTCTTAATCCTAAGTCTAAATCTTGTATTTCTTTGATAGAATCTTCAGCATCACTGTAGTGCGACATTCTTCTCAGCTTTTTGTCTCAGATGCCCCACAGTGAACACTAAAATATTTCATTTTATAACTTAGGCTAACATTATATAAAAGATAATGTAACTATTTTGGCAACATAGTTTACTTAACGCAAATGATGAGCTTATTTAACTGTAATTCGCAAGTAGAGTAGTGCAGTTATTTAAAAAACTAATTTTGTAAAAAACATCATTACTCTGTAATTAGTACATAACAACTACACATTCACAATCTAATACACTATTTAGAATCAATTGCATTATCAAGTATTGAATAAAATTAACGAACCTGGAAGTTTATTAACATTAAATGGTATTTTTATACACGTATAATTTCAAAGACTGAACATCATCATTGAGGAAATCGAAAAATTACATTAGTCTCGTAAGTAATCAGCTGTCATTTCATAACGTCATAGGTGGTATACAATTTCTGGTAAAATGCTAACTTTTTCATTATACCTCAAAGAACCTCACAATATTTTTTTTCTTTCTATAATAATTTATAGTGATTTAATTTATATAAATAGAAAATTTATTAAATTACACATATAGTCCAAAGGCTTCTGTATTTAAACTAACTGAGTATATATCAATATCTTTGTTTCAAAGAACGTCACAATAAATTTTCTTTTTCTTCCTATAATCATTTATAGTTATTTTATTTATATTACTTGGGAATTTATTATTTATATAAGTGTTTTCTATAATATAGTTTAAGACATTGTAAAATATTAACAACTGGAGTTGTATTTCTTTTAAAGTTATATTATTTATACTAAATATATTATGAAGTTGTTATGCACGTAAAATAATCTTAACTTATGTTCAAATATAATAAATTTATTATAATAATAATAAAAAAAAATTTTTCTTTATACAAAGATCAATAAATCAATTCATAGAATAGTTTAATAGTAAAAAGCATGACATATGACATGCGACACCAAATTTTCGATTATGATTGGTGTGACAGGTGACAGTTGTGACATTGACATAATAGAAATAAAATAGAAATAGGGATGAATTATATAAATAAACAATAATCAAATACATATTGAAAGAACAACTATTTTTTCCGTATGGAGAAGGATCTGCAAATCTGTAGAATATGTTTAAACACGAATTTGGAACCAGATCCTCAGGAGTTAAATGAACAATTTTCGTTTATGTTAAAAGAATTGACCAAAGTATATTTTGATATATGTTGTTAAATTTTATACTAATGATTTTTTTTTAGACTCAAATTAATGTTATTAAACCTTACATATGCTCCAGTTGTATCTCTCAATTGGTGAAGAGCTATAATTTCAGATTAAAATGCATTAACAACAGAAATAATATTATAAACTGTATTAATGAGAAAACTACAAGCAAAGAAATTTTAAAAATGGAAAATGTGTGTTGTTTTTGCTTAACAGCTGATTATAATTTTAACACAATTAATATTAAACAATATTTACAGTTGTGTTTTCCTGAACTAGTAAGTGTATACTTACAACAATGAATATAGATGCATATGGCTCTATATTCATTGCTTAAAACATTACCTAGGAATAATATATCTATTTTTTTTTTGTTCTTGATAAAATTCAATATTCTACTATTCATTATTGTTTAAGGCAATATTATTTACATATTTATCAATCTCACTGTAAATGTCACATTATTGTATACCTTTATTCTTTAAAAAAAGTATACAAATAATCTACACTGTGATCCATCCAATCAACTTGGTGGTGCACATTTCTGGTACACTTAACTTGCTATTATATGGGTTAAATATTCTTCTGGCTTATAACTTACAGTCCTTTTTACAGTCAGTCTTCTTCTTCTTAAGGTGCCGTGCATTTCTGTGTAGGCGTCCACCATACATCGTCTTGTCAGGTGAGATGTTAAATATTCTGGTTTAAATAATTCTGTTTTTAGCAGCATTGCGAAGCATTTCATAGCTGTGGATTCCTGTCCATTGTCGAATATTGCGCAGCCATGACATTTTTTACGTCCGAGACCTCTCCTACCCTCTATTTTCCCTTCGAGAATCAGTTGCTGAAAAGTGTATCGTTCTCCTCGTATAATGTGCCCCAAGTATGCAGTCTTCTTACTTTTTACATAATTAAAAAGTTCCCTATCCTGTAAGCCTGCTCTTCTGAGTACTTCCTCATTTCTGACCCTGTCCGTCCATGATATTCTGAGCATTCGACGCAGGCACCACATTTCAAACACTTCAAGTTTGTTAATGGAACTGGCCTTTAACGTCCATGCTTCCATTCCATACAGGAGAACAGGCCACACGTAACATTTAAGCATCTTGTATCGGAGATTGAAGTCCAATTTGCGATCAGTCAGAAACTTACGAAGCCTCAAAAAAGCATTTCTGGCTTGTTCAACTCTGCTCTTTATTTCATTCTCGGGGTCCCAACCCTCATTCAGCAAACATCCCAAGTATTTGAATTGCCTGACTTGTTCGATTTCTTCTCCAGAGACATATATCTTTGCGTTGGGGTAATCATTTCTACTTATAATCATTGATATTGTCTTCTTGATATTTATTTTCAAACCCCGAGCTTCACTTGCAAGAGTTAGATCATTTAAAAGGCATTGAAGATCTTCGATGTTATCTGCCACTATGGCTGTATCGTCGGCATACCTGATGTTATTAATAAATATGCCGTTAACTTTAATACCCTTATTAGAGTCCTCCACTGCTTCTGCGAAGGCTTTTTCTACATATAAATTGAACAGCATTGGGGACAGTAAACAACCTTGCCTTACTCCTTTTTTAATGGAGACATTATTTACAGTCAGTATATAAGGAAAAACATATTTTGAGTTAATATGTACAATTTATAATTTTATTGGTTAAATAAAAATAAATTAAAAATGAATTGCTTTTTTTAATTGCAAACAATAAACTTAATTAAATTAAACTAAATGAATAGTGTGAAAAAAGAACAGAACAATACGTAATTATCATAAGCTACCATTTTTGATTAAAACTAACTTTGCAATAATGAGGATTGTCTTCACATGTATCAGAAATATTTCATACTAGAGATCCTGATTTTCCTTTTCATATATTTCTATATTAAAGTCATTTCATCTTGCTATATTTCATGTAATTTCATTTTGTAATATAGGCTGTATAATTGACATTTTGAGGTGTATAATTGTTAGTGTTTTGTAGTTTTGCAGAATAAGAATAAATATGATTGTTTTTAAATTAGTGTAAACAATGTTAAACTTGGCCTATATAAAAATTTTTCTGTCATGCCAGTTTAACAGTCTTTACACAATCTCTAATAAAAAACAAACAAATAAACTGCATTATGTACCTGTTTTTAAACTTTTAGGATGTTAAATCAACCAAAGATGTGGCAGTGTGTCATGATTGTTGTGAAACAATGAAATGTACTTGCATGTTTCTAAGGATGTGCTTAAATGTTGACAGATCAATTAATTCCTATATGGCAGCTAATAAAATAAAGGAGATCATATTAACACCTAAACTTCAAATTTTAACAGAAAGTGATGACCAGTGTCTACCAATTGAAGTTAAATATATGCCTGAGCCAGATAATAATACAAAGACTGAAATCATTAATAATTCAAGTATATTTGGAACAGATTCAAGTGTTGAATATGAACCTCAATTTAAAACATTAGAATTGAAAGCAGATCTGCAAAAAACATCAACGTTAAAAGAGAGTAGTTCTAATATTGCAGTTTCAGATGAATTAGGTGATTGTAATAGTTTGATCAATGCATTACATAATAATGCGCAAAGTTCACTACAAAATATGGTTAATGTTCCTCATATAACAAATTTTGAGAAGAGTTACCAAGAAATGTGGTCTAATAATCTTAATTTAATTAATACTGACAATGCCCATCTAGAAATGCAAACAAATATTAATGGTACATTTCAAAAAAAGACATTTCCTTGCAAAAAGTGTGATTATGTGGGTACCAGTAGAGAAGAATTAAAGTATCATTTTTTTACTCATAGAAGCAATTGCAGAATTTATAAATGTGAAAATTGCCCATTTATTACTAGACATAAGAATGTTATCGACAACCACAATTTGACTCATCTTGCTGATGAAGATGTGTGTTGGTACTACTGTGATAAGTGTGCTTACAGATCTAGAATGGTCGCAAATCTGCAGAAACATAAATTTACCCATATTAAACAAACAGATGAGATGAAAAAGTGAGTATTTTAATTGTTTTATACAAATTTCCTATATACTCCATTCCACTAATATACAACTGTTTTAAATTCGGTTTAAGGTCTCTATTTGAATGGTCCAATGTGCTGAACTGTACAATAGTAAATTCTCCCTATTTTTAAAATACTGTTATGACTTAAAATTTAAATATGAAGTCATGATATAAATATAGAGTTGATAATTTATAGAATAGTTATAATTTAGATTTTAAAGTATATAATTACTATCATTGATTTTAGTATTGTAAACAAGTTGTTTTTTGAATTAAGTGATTTAAATGAAGTGTAACAATACTTAGGTGGTTAAGTGTAATTTATTTAGTCGAATATTGAATTAGTATTAAGAAAACAAAAAAAAAACTTACTTACTCTCTTATTCTCCTAATCTCCTAAAACTATCATCAACCATCAGATTCACAGAACTTCACCATAGGAAAGTACATTAAATACAAAGTTGTCTACATCTAAAACACGTCTCGGCGTTTTTGGCTTCAATAAACAAATACACTACACTAAACTCTCTCTTAACGGCACCTTTCTTCATCGGACACCTCTATACGGACAGTTTTTAAAACTTAAATCAGTCGGCGATATATGAAACTGTATATAAATGTTCGTTACTTTTTAATATCTGTAACGACTCGGTGCTTCAACTATCAATAGCCGGTATGTTATACCCTTTACTTTCGGAACTTTTAAGAGTACATCCACTCAAATCAAACAAATATTTAAAACTAACAAAGTGAAATTATAGATCCTTTTTCTTGTTTCCAAACTGTCGTTCTGCCAATTTCTTTTCATTTATATTAAAAGTATATTTCTTTTTATTACAGTTGTAGTACCTAATATAGTAATAAAAAGTGTGATATAAAGGAACCCGGCACGCCTCTTTGGTGTTTACATTTCACGGAAACCCAACCCAAATGTCTTATGAGCACATTTTGGCTTCATAGAACTCATTATATTTATTTGTAGGACCGTTTGCATAAAAATTTTTGTTATTTTCGGATTAAATTTTGCGTCTATCTGAACATATATTAACTGAAATAATTTTAGTGTAAGTGTCAAACTAACAGTAAATCCATTTTATTGGAATACTGTTTAGACCAATTTACTTTCATACTTCTACTTGCACAGTAAAATATTCATTGTCGTAATAATCCAAAACAGTCGTATATTCGTGGAATAACCTATAACTCTTTATAATTCAATTTTTATTTAGTTGCTAGTTAATGTAGAAAAAAATAAAAATAATGGTTTAAAAATTCTTTAGTTAAAGACAAAGCCAGTCTCTGTCAACATCATACAAGTGTATGCACAAACATTTGATAAAGAAGAGATTTGTTTATTCCTGATGTTTCATATGTAACTGTTGCAGATATTATCAAATGTGATATATCACTGATGGTTTCACTTAAGTATCAGTGCTGTCCTTAGCCATCATGTTTTTCATTCATTTTTCGCTGTGATCAAGGCGACAGTTCCTTTTATGTTCAATCAAATAAGTACACTACATTTCATTTTTCCAATATAGATTAAACTATAGGGAATGCGGTAAATTCCTAGAGTAGACAATGGTTCTTTTATATCTTTGGCAGATCTTAGACTTTCTTGTATTTTCTTTTTTGATTTGAAGAAAGATGTTTTCGTAAGATTTCGCTAGTTCTACCTTTTGGCTCTCGTTGTTAGTGACAAAAAGTGCGTTTTAAAGTCCAATATTGTCATCTGAAATGGATAGTAATACAGGGATTCCTCAAGGCCACTCTTAGGGTATTAGGCCACCTTTGACTTATTTTGTACATTATTTATATCGATCTTGATAGTTTTTGTAATATATGAATTTATTAATCTTTTTACTGATGTTTTTTTGTCAATGGAGACCAAAATCAAGGTAAATAACACAATTATTCAACTTCATTTTGACTATTGCTCATCAATTTTATTTTTATTTAACCTTATAAAACTTAACACGTTGCAAAAATTACAAAATATGTGAATGCAGAGAATAATTCTTAAAACAAATCGCCGTACCCCAATCCAGACGATGTTAATTCTCTAAATTGGTTCTCTGTTGAAAATAGAATTTCACCATGATTTTGGTCTTCAAAATAGTAAAAGGATTATCACCTAAATATTTTCAAGAATTCATTTGTCAACAAAAATACTCATTATTATAATACCAGATGTTTAGATGACATAATATATCTAGAACTATGTATAAAAGTACGACAAATTCGCTCTTTTTTAAATTCTTCCTTAAGTTTAATCAGTTACTTGCATCTATAAAAAAATGTATTACTCTCAATAATATTAAAACGTTGCTCAAACAACATATCAACAATGTATAGTTAACTTTTGTCAATATTGTATGCATATTAGATTTCTTATTTAAATCAATATCTATCTAATATATATTAATAATGTTCAAATCATCAAGTTCCTCGTAATTACCAGGGCAGTCCGATAAGTATTTAGGCTACAAAAAAAAAACAAAAATTTGGAAAAGTGGCGATTTATTTCTCAATATAATCTACTTTTAGCTTCATATACTTAACCTAGCGACGCTTCAACTTTAAAGCCATTTAAAAATATGTTTCCTCGAGGTCAGCAAAGTAGGCTTCCGTGGCGGTTATGACCTCCTGTTTCGATTTAAAGTTCTGCCTGGCGAGTGCCTTTTTAAAGTTTGGAAACAAAAAGAAGTCACACGGGACCAAATCTAGAGAATATGGTGGATGGGGCAACAGTTAGTAGCCCAACTCGACCAACATTGCCATGGTGATGGCGGAGGAATGAGTCGGTCGATTGTCATGGTGGAAGAGCACTTTTTCCTATGCTAAATGGGATCGTTTTTTCTGTAATTTTTTGGCGTCGAATCGGCTCAATAATTCGGCGTAGTAGAGCTCTGTGATCATTTTGCCCTTTTCCAGGTAGTCGACGTAGATCACCGCATGTGAATCGCAAAAAATGGTGGCTATTACCTTTTCGGCCGGTAGGATAGTCTTCGCCTTTTTCGGAACACGTTCGTCGGGTGCCACCATTGTTTTAACTGTTTATTGGTTTCTGGTATGTACCAATGGATTCATGTTTTGTCATTGGTTGCGAAGCGACGTAGAAGCTCCTTCGGATTACGCTTAAATAGCGTCAAACACCTGTGACAAGGTCTCACTGTTAAGTTTGTTGTCCGGAGTGAGCAAACGCGACAATTATCGCGCCACCAGCTTTGTCTAGCCCAAAATTTCACGGAAGATATGACATACTCGGTCTTTTGAGATGCCTACTCTCTCAGCTATCTCGAGTACCTCCAGTCGGCGGTTTGTCAATATGAGCTCGTGGATTTTTGTCACGTCATCCTCAGTAGAGGTGCTTATTAGTTCTTTTAGACGAACTAGTTCAACAGAACTATTTCACAAAAATGAACTAGTTCAGTGAACTAGTTCGCGAAAGAACTATTTGTAGGACCGACATCGAAATCCAACCCTAACAGAATTGGTTGCCAGATGTCTCGTCTCAGTCATCACACAAGCTCGGCGCCAGCCGCCCGTTTTCTTTCAGTCTTTCACTAGTTCACTACCGTACAAGTAGCTCGGAACAATCGGAACTATTTCTTTCGATCGTATGTTTAGGTTTAAATGGTTTAAATTATTATATGATTAGTTAGTTTTTATTTGCAAAAAATTATTAAGATTTGTTTTTTATTAACCGTTTTAAATATAAATATGGTTCAAGTATGATTGATTTTTATATTTACGTATATTTAAACTCATAGGTATTTATAATTAGGATATTTCTAAAAGAACCTTTACAAAAAAAATCAATACATGGGCATAAGATCCGAACCATTATGACATTAAGATAAGACTTAATGTTATTGTCACATTCATAAGAATTATGAATCTGTTATCTGAGGCTAATCGGCATTTTTTTTTAAACTAGTTAGTCCATCCATTCACAAAATAATAAATATATGTTCTAATTTATTCATTCATTATTTTCTTCTTTAGAAGTTGAGACATAATTTATAATGCAAATCGTTCGCAGTAAACTAGTTCTATGAACATTAATGAACTAGTTCAATTAGTTCAGTTGAAAGAATCGTTCATTAGAACTATTTCGATGGTGAACTACACATCCCTAATCCTCAGTGATAGCCGATTTTTGGGCACCTGGGCGTGGCTCATCAAAACCCGACATGCGACCACGTTAAAGCTCGGTAAACCAATTTTTGAGGGTTGCCATGAAATGAAAAGAGTCACAGCATCCAAGCTCTATTTGATTTTCCTTGCAAAAACAATAATCGAATCACCGACCAATATTGCTCTTTTTCCATTTTTCTAAAATCCGCGGAGACGCCCACTTTCACACGCGGTCGAAACAAAACTACAAGTCTGATGCGGCTTAAATTTGGACATTACCCGTCCACTTGGTATTACGTGATAGTAGATTTTTCTTGAGATAGTGGCGGCATCGAGCGGTGAGGTTCAGTACTGATTGGACCGCCTACGTATTTTGTAGATAATAATATTTTATTATTTTTTTAGATATAAATGCGAGGAATGTACCTATATGACAATGTGGAAAAGAGATTTGGAACGTCACAAAGTCAAACACCTTAATCCAAAATTTTCCTGCGACTTCTGCTCTTTTTCCACTAGACACGAACGGTACCTTAAACAACACATTCAGAGGTTGCATTGTGCTAGAGAAGAATCGAATGAATTGTTTTATTGTGCACATTGTAACTTTAGTACAAAACATAAGCGCAGCTTAATACCGCATATGGTTATCCATAGAAAATTAGAGGATTTGAAATGGTACACATGCAGATATTGTCCTTATAAAGCCAAATGGAAACGAAGTATTACAACTCATGAATTAATTCATGTTAAGGTTGGTTTATTATATTGGTACAATGGTACTTTTTAATTCTTCAAAATCTCAGTACATCGCATTTACAATGAATATCTTAATACTTTTGTTTGATATCTTTGATGGGGATAAGGTAATATTTGAATACGGCCCTTTTTATACATCTGTGGTTTCTCCTTTATAGCTCTACAGTCATTGATGAACCTTGACTTCTCTTAAACATGCTTCCACTGTCCCCTATACAAAGCCAGTCTTCTCTATGCCTTTATTTCTAGTACCTGTAGATCTGCTTCTACATCGCCCAGGAAGCGTTTTTTGGTCTTAGTGGTTATATCTGTCCTACAGGTTTTTCAAACATTGTTGTGTTTTGTCGTTTAACCATCAATAAATGAACATCTTTTATCCATTGTTATAATTTTCTTGTACACCAAAATTTCTCCCTACACCACTGTGGTATACGGGGTTTTTGAAAATATATGTACAATTTTCTTGTAAAGAGTGTTTTTGAGTGCGTTCAGTAGTCATTATGATTTCAATTCAATTGCATTTGATTGGACAATAGCAAGGACAGGACATGCAATTAAAGAGTGTAGTTAGGAGTAGGGAAGAGTCGGCTATTGCTGCGCATTTAAGGCTAATTCAGTATATTGAAAAAAAAAAACATTTTAGTTTCCAACTTTTTTTAAGATATACTTCAAGGGCCTAGGTATGTTGGTAGAGACCGCGTTCAATGAATGGTGGAACAGTGAGAGGTAAAATTTCCTATTAGTGTAACGGGCACAATTATCCGACATATTCGGCTAATGGTGCGCGTATATCAAATAACTGTGAAATAATAGAACTTAAAAGTGATCTTCGAATATGTAGTTTATTGAACATAAATATTAATGGTACAAACAAATATACGGAAAAAGGTAAGAAACCAAGTTAGAGATATATAAAAAAAATGTAAGCATCGCAGAAGTCACAAATATATCCTTCTGGACTATGCTGTCCTGTACACATGGCAGTCCATTGATAACATATTATATCAAACACTTGTACCATATCTCGTCTTTTTTGCTATCATCACCACATAATACATGTCATTTTCAGAAGTAGTTATCCCAAATGAAAATGACTTGATCATCTTTCGACGGTTTTAAGTTATTTTTGAAATGCTTAAGCCATTCATAAAAAAGATCTTCGTTACTCCAGCCGCTTTTAGAACAACAATAAATATATTTGGATGGACCAGTTTTTGTTAATGCGTATCATTCTAATCTTTGGAAAGATAAACTTTTGTGGAATGTAACAGGTGCCTGATGCGTTGAAGCAGCAAATAATTGTGACTGTCTTTCCTCTTTCACCGGATGTTTTCTCGCCAAACTGTTTGAAACGCTTAGGTCCTAGTTTTTTGCAAGGTTTTGTACGGTGGTAATTCCGCTCTCGTCAACGTTAATTCGATCTCCCTTGAAGTTAAAGTTTGTGCAAAATTGTTGCAAATTATTAAAAAATATGGTAACTTGTTTTTTATGAAAAGCCAAGATCCTATTGATGCTGCTGGTTTCAGGCTTTCTTAGACAAATTTCTGGATGTCTCTTTAGAAAGCCATAATACCAGTTTTTCCTGCCATTTATGTCTGAGCATTACAATTATGTTTAATATGACTAGCTTTCGCAAATGAGAATGCTAGTCTTCTTAGGTTTGGTTTTCAAGCAGGTAGAATGCAGGCATTTTAAAATGCAGGTCTGGTTTCTGGTCAAACCATGAAATAATTTCGTTATCTTTCAAACATTTTCTATTAATTGTTTTTCTTGATCGAGGGAAAAGATGCAACGCTTCCCAACGTGAGGATTAACCAATTGCCATTCACGTCTATCAACACATTTTCAAATCAAAGATTCTGGAATATTGAACCTTCTTCCAGCTTCTCGTATTTTACCACCATTTTTTACGAAGTCTAGAGCCGTGGTTGTGGTTTCAGCATCCCAGGAGGCCTTTGTGGGTTTTCGTTGATATTTTGGCATCTGCAAAATAATGGCTTTTCTAAATAAGACATGTTATATGAACGCTTCGACTTATTTTCTTGAAGAATGTTAATAAGGATCGCTTGATTGAAAAATCTGTATTCAATTTCATTGGTAGAATTTGTGGCAGTTACAAAACGTAACAAAATGTCTTTATATACCTTGTCGGCCAATGGTGACCATTAGACGATCTTCCACTTCACCACATAACAGAAAATTGGATAAAAACAAAAAATAATTGGCAAAACTAACTATACCAATGTCTAAAATGGTGAATAAATAACGTGTATATATGTACATTTTAAACTATATTTTTATCAAGAATAAAGCTTACCGCTTATTTTCTCAGACATAAAAACATTAACATATCAAGCGAAAACATATAAACGATAACTGCCAACTAGTAAAGTATGTTTTTATCATTTTTTAAATAGGAGATTAGAAACATTGATGCGCACAATTACCCGACGCACACCATTAGCCCACTCTCCCCTACTATGTAGCAAAATAAATTATCATAAAAATTAACCTCATGCAAATATGAATAAAATATTTAAGATGTGTCAAAATACAACCAGCAAACAAATTTTGTAATTTTGCCTTTAATTTTTTTTTTTAATTTTTACAGAAGTTCAGTTGCGATCAATGCGATTTCCAAACTACTTTAAGACGGTATTTAAAAGAACACTTGAAAGCTCATGAACCTCCTACACTGTACAAATGCGATCAATGTGATTTTTCTAGTCATCACAAGCAGGCCATCACTCAACACAACCTTAAACATAAAAGTATTGATGAGGTAAAATCGTACCAATGTTCTAATTGCTCCTACAGTGCCAAAAGAGCATGCGATTTAAAAGTACACTTCATCTTTATGCACACTGAAGCGAAAGAACAATATAAGTGCGATACGTGTTCGTACATTACCAGATGTAAAAAACGTTTGACTCATCACAAAAAGTTGGTGCATGAGGTATCAGGAGCCGTAAGAAAGGTAAAATCAATTATTAATTATATATATATATATATATATATATATATATATATATATATATATATATATATATATATATATATTATTTTTAAAATCTATTAACAAATAATGTAACTGTTTAATAGTTTTAGATGTATTTGCAATTTTCTGCAAAAGCGTAGTCATGGAAATTATTTATTTATATCTTATTGCACAATATTTTTCAAAACTTTTTGCCCAAAGCCTTGATGGCTCAATAGTAAGAGGGTAAACTTACTAAGCGTAAAAACTCAGAATCTAACCGTAGTGGAAATTTTTATTAAGGGGACTTTTACTTTCTAAATTGTCAAAAAATCGATTTTTTTACTTAAAAATATTCCCTATAGATTGTCTCAAAGTGATTAGTCTGTACAGAGTAAATGCACGATATCGATGCCATACTTCTTTGCAAACTTTTATTAAAATAAACGTGACTTCTTACTACTTAGCCTAATCCATCTTTTGTGTTGAGGGTAGCTTAAGTATTAATGCCCACTAACGACCCTGCCTGGCTTCCTTCTGTCAGTGGTTCTCAAACATAAATAATATTTGCTACAACATACTTGAGTTAAATTAAAATAAAATAGAAATTAAGAAATGCCTTTTATTTATGTCACACAAGTAGTTTGTTTTTAATTCTACAGTATGTGCTAGCGATACAAACCATTTGTTCATAGATTTAAATAAAATCGAATGAAATAAAACTACAATATAAAGAAACATTTTATTTATGTATTATTCCGTTCAAAAGTTAAGGGAGGAAGGACTTTTAAAAACCGCACTGTATATGTTGGCAGTAACAAAACGTAGAAATATCCGAAAATAAAACTAATAAATAAGCTGAAAATAAAAGAAGTCATTGTATTTAATTTCGTGTGTAAGTAATGGTAATTGTACACCATTATATTTAGTTCCTTTTTCTGTCAATCGCTGTCACATTTAGTTTCTGCTTAACTATCATCATCATCATCATTATTATCGTCACTGTCATCAGTATCTCCGTTATTTATATTTATAATAATTGGTTCGATATCATCCAACAAATTGTCAATTTCCCACATTTTTTTTCTGTTGTTATTGCGTGGTTTACCTAGTTTTTCCATTTCTCTGGCGTAATGACCTGGTAAGCTGCTGTAATTACATTTTACATTTCATCTTATTTAAAATTCGCGTTGCCTTTAGCTATATACCGTTTCACTTCACTCCAAACCATTTCGATGGGATTGAGTTCACAGTGATAGGGTGGGAACCTCAGAATCTTCAAATTGTGCTTTTTGGCAATATCTTCTATTATGTACCTGTCATCTTGTTTTGAAGGCCTTGACTACATCAAGTAACTCACATTTTAGGTAGTCTTCTTAAAAAAATAGGTCCTTTGACAGAAGCCATTCTGGAATATCTTTTTTTAGTGTTGAACTGTTGGGAATTTGTTCCGACTTCCTGCTATGATAGGAGGCATGGTCCATTAAAACAGTTTTTTCTGGTAAATTTAGCCTTAAGTTATTTTCGAAGCAATCTTCGAAGGTCGGTCTATCCCTTTCGTCGTCGTAGCCCTGAGTATTTTTCTTTGCCAAAAACGTGAGCTCTGCTTGATCAACAAATCCACTGGTAGATCCTGCGTGCAATAAAACGAACCGTGCACCACGAGCTGTTGGAGCTTTTAATCCTGTTGTCACCGCACGAACAATAGCATCGTCATGAGATATAATTGTTTTATCAACCCATTATTTTTTCACATTGTGCCCGATATTTACCCATGATTCATCCAAATACACTATGTTGTATCCTTCTGCACGGTATTTACGAATTGCGCGTAAATAACGATGACGCCACTAGATGATTTCTGGGTTTTCAATCAAAATTTAATTTTTGCCACGTTTTATAAACACAAAATCCGTATCACTCAGCAAGCGATGTAGCGTGGCCCGTGAAAAGTTGGGCAAAGTTTCTTTGACACTTACAACAGCCAATATGGTGTTTATTGTTGGTGGTATGTTGTCACGAAAAAATTGATGAACTATTCTACGAATTTGGCCCCTGACACCTTCATCGTACTTGTTGTCATGAGAATTACCAACCTTTCGCTTCTTGGGCCTGCTATTTGGAGATTGTAATCCAGCAGGTGATGAATATTCCTGTCGTATGCGAAACATAATTTTTTCGCAAACACCACTCATTTCTGACACTTTCCTAATTACACTTGATACAGAATCGTTATTATCCTGATTAAGATGAGAATTAATAATATTCATCATATTAGTATCTGCTTCTCTAAAAGTTTCAGAGCTTTTCCACGTCTCCATAGAACAATTTCCTCCATTTTACGGTAACGGTAAAAATTCGGCGTCAAATATAACAATAGCCAACAACAGAAAATAACAATAATTGCCAACAGCAAATCACAACAACAGTCACCAACAAATAATAACAAAACAGTAACAGTACATCCAAGATGGTACAAATAATCGTAACTCGAATATGTTTACGCGCTCCGAAGAACAAATAAAGATTAATTAAGGCCCTGGATGTATCAAGCTTTTAAACATATTCTGTACAAGAATTACTCTAATTGCTTCTTAATTACTGAATAACTTAGAAGAACGTATTTGAAAAACTTTTATTTAATGCACATTTTATTATACTACTGCTACTAATAAAAGATAAAAGTTGATAAGTTACTATTAGAAACTAAAAATTATGTAAAATTATTATCAAACGATATTTGTAAATTACATAAAATTGTACGTGAGGACTTGTTGAGAACTCCGGGTTTATTTTGAAAGATAGACAATAGAGAACGCCATCGCACTACTGAGTCTAGTAAAGGAAATAAAAATATTGGTTGCTCTTACCTATACCCGGGTGATTACCACAAGTTATTTTTACTTTTGATGAATAAATACTTTGTTCTTGGATACTAAACGTTTACTACACACTTTAAAACTTATAAAAAAATACGACCAGTAACTAACTCAACAATAACTATCACGTTACAATATATTAACTTACAATAATATGAACCAACACGCTACAATTTGAATATAATCAGACCGAGCAGTTTGGACTTGTAAAATGACAATCATTCTCGCTCAAGGTGATAAATTTTATTTAATAGTCTCTTGGCGAATGAGAAGTGTTATTCATTTGATGCATGGGTCTAAATAGGATCCACTGCATGATTTTGATTAGTTCGGATGGGAGGATGAACTTTAGTTGGTTGGCAGGGAGCTATAGGCGTTTCTGTGACTACAACTCATACAGTTGTATTTAGAAGATTACCATAAAATAAAGGTACTTCGGGCATTAATACGGTTTTAGGAGTTGCCGTTATGAAATGTAAGTAAAGAGGTAACCTTAAAATCGAAAATAAAATGAAATGAAACACCAAGATTCTACGAATTGAACAATATCTTCCTATATCTCAAACTTATTCATAGTTTTGTATTAATTAATATTTGTTCTTAAAAGAAAGGAGATTTCCATTATTTTTCGATTTATTTGCGTTACTGCATTACTGCAACTACTAAAAAATAAATTTACCAAAACTATTCACAAAATATTTGAAACAAGTCTAATAAACATATAATAGTTAAATTTAGACCTCAGAGCACAGACTTTATTTAAATTTAAGATTTGAAACTTTAAATGTTACCAGGTCTAAAGTTTTGCTTTATATTAAGAGTACCGCCAGAAATAATACGAAGGTTGACGTAACTTTAAAAACTTTGGGAACCTCTGCTATATACCTTAAGTTTCGCTATCCATTAAGTAGTTATCACACAAGATGAAAATAACTAAGTGCATTTAAGTTTAACCCTAATCTAACTTAACATTTGTTTTTAGTTTTACTGCACGTTGTGTACCTTCCAAACTAAGTACAAGAACAGTTATGTTAACCATCAGCTCAGTGTGCACAAACTTGACGATTCTCCTATCCTCAACTGTCCTGATTGCAGCTATACAACCCGTCGGAAGGAGATGTTGCAAAAACATCTTTTGGTGCACAAAAGCATCTCAGAAGTAGAGATTTTTGAATGTTATCATTGCCGTTATAAGTCTAAATATAAACGTGCTTTGATCAAACATATGCAGGGTCATATGGGTTATGTGAAAAACGATACTATTTATCAATGCGAACAATGCGATTTTAGAACTAAATGGAAGGTTACTTTTAAAAAACATGGTAAGAAACATCCTCTGCCTATTGAAGAAGTCAAATTAGAGATAGAAGTAGCGAAAACTGAGATTGAATGGAGGAGTGGTGAAAATGATGGTATATCTGAAGCATAAAATTAATTAAAGTAAAACGTACTCGTTGTTATGTATTAATAATAGCAAGTTGATATTAAGTATTGCGTTCTTAGAAATTTAAATTATTTTTTTTTTCAAAGTTATTAAATGAAAATAAATTATTTTAGGTACAAGTACTACTATGGGTACCAAAACTAATAATTAGTTTTGTTATTATGATGGTATTGTAATTTTCTTGTATCGTTAGTCAATAATTCACAAATATTTTCATACAACTGTATCAAATATCGCATTATTTAAGGTGGGACTGTCAAAATTCGAAGTAATATTATAAATGTTATACAGGGTGATCAACTTTTGTGACGTCCTTTATATCTGTTATTATAGGAGATACCAAAAAAGCTATTTACAAATAGGTGGTGGCTATAAGCTTCACATTTTAAAATTAGTGACAAATATATAGGGTCTTTCATAATATTACCGCATTAAAGATAATGCTTATTTTTAATTGATTCATCCCGTATTTTATTTTAAATTTAAAATCTGCTTTCTCGTTAGGAGAATACAAAGTTGTTTTGTGTTATACATTGTATTTAAAAATAACTCAATTTCAATAAAAATCAACGCACTGTATAATTAATAGGGGTACATCGTCATTCTCTCATATGCAGTCGAAATCATATGCGAATCATAAATAGCAAAGAAAGCTTTTTTAAGAGGCCCAAAAAATGTCAAGTCTAGGGGCTGTAGATGGTTTGACGTATGAAGATGAAAAAGCATGTACATTTGTATTTACATTGTATGTACATTGCATGTACAATTTACTTACCGTTACACATCATTATCATTGACAGAGATCGAAGTTGACATAGTTGCCAAAGTATAAAAAAATCGTGAATAAATTTTAAATCAAATAGGTCACATAATTATTGCAAAAGTGGATTATACAACAAAACAAATTAATATTTAATGTAAATAAATAGAAACAAGAGTTAAAAAATAATCTTGTTAAAAACAATTTGGGCCGCTTGGATGCGTCGTATAAAGATGTACATACTTAAACAAAAACAACACATTTTTCATTACTTATTTACTTTGAAATGTTTTGTTACAACTAAATTTTCAAATGCGTTTTTCTTTTTTCTTCAGATTTATTTAAATTTCGGTAATTGGTAAGTTTCTTAGGCTTTATAAGTTTTTTGGGCGGTGATAGAAGTGAAGAAGTGTATTAGTTTTTACGGCCTGAGAAATAGAACTCACAGTTAAAATATGTAAATTTAATGCTGCAGCTAGACGCTAAAACAAGAATGTATATTTTAAGCATGTACAATAATATACAAAACATACATTAACATACTTCTCTAACAGCAGTCAAGGGTAGAATGGGGCCGTTATTATCACGTTTCTGTTCAAAATAATGAATCAAAGAAGCTACCACCTCTTTACAACGACTATTTAATTTCTTACGTGACATTTTTGAAATAAAACACATTAATTTTCTTCTAAAAAGAACAGATTTTATTAAATAGGTAAAAATATAAAACAAGAGGTATTCACTTTAAAATTCAAAATAATAAAGTACAAAAAGTGTCAATACCGCAACTGTCAAATAAGTATTACCAATTTATGCCAAAATATCACCTTCGTTCGATTACAGTTACAGTGTGTTACGAACAAATGTTCTTCATAAAAACGCTTTATAATGCATTTATACAAATTAAATGAAACATATTATTGTGTATTTCTTTAAGTTAACATTAATAGAAATCTTTAAATATTATTTCGACGCGTATATAATAAAATATGCCTAGTGGCTGTAATGCCAGTGTACTCGGCAAAGTGATTCTAAAAAGGAACACCCCTACCGCCTAAATATTTCGTGTTGGTATCATGTGACCTCACGAGCTATGATGCGGATGACGTGCAACGGTAAGTAAATTAGATGAAGTATATGTAAGAAGCACAATGTAATTCTCTTTATAGTCATTATAAATATCCAATGATATAAGACTCGAATGATTGTCCAATTCCAGCAAAGCTTGTTCTTAAATTATCACGTATTGTTGACTCCAGAATATTAAAATTTCTAGCAGCTGTATTTTGGCACCTGTCTTAATTGCAGCTATAGCGTTATTAAGCTGCTCAATTGACTAGAATTGTCGTTGGATGTTTCGTTTGTAGTTTCTCTCCATCTCAAGTGAAAAGGAAATGTTATCAATAAATGTAAATAACTTTTTTCATCTTTTTTAAAATGTTTTTACCTTGGATTTGGTAAAAATAAAACAAACATAATTAAACGAGGATCATCTTTAGTCATTAATAGCATACAATTTTTATTTTCTTTACCAAAATCTTGAAAAAAAAAATTACAAAAAAGTCGTCATTAAAACAAGTGAGGGGCAATATGACTACCTTGATTTCGTTTTCTTACCGTCGCTACAATAATTAAAAATCAAATTAAAAACTAAATATGGACATATATCACACAAGAATTGACGGAATGATCTGTACTTACGAATCTTACTTTGTTTTAAAATTACCACTTATCTTTCTTCATGAATAGATCTGAATGATCTGATTTCTGAATAGATCCTTAACTAATGCCTTGCTCTCTTGAAATATTTCGGATACTTGTATCATCAATAAAACATTTAATTCGTTTTTTTTTCTGTTGTAATCGTTTTTTTTCTTTAGTCTCATGTAACAATGAACCATTGCGATTGAATATGTCTGAATTTTGAAATGCTCTCTTATTTGGTTGCTGACGATCTAGATGTTGCTTATGATAGTCTCTGCAAGTAAACTGTTATTACATTCACTGAATATCCATACCATGTCTATCAGTTCTTCCCTTTCAAAAATTCATTGTTGACTGTAAAATAATTAAAATTCAAGACAATGTCAAAACAATTTGATTTAAAACTGAATTGTCAATTTGTGAAAGATACATTTATGGCAACATTGCTTTATTTTTACATTATTATTATAACAATTTCTTTATTTTTATTGTATGCTTCTTTAAGATATTTATAAATAGTAAAATAAATAAAAATAATAAATTGAATTCATGGCCTATCTCATTTTCAGTACCATTTAAACTATCTACAAACTGTTAAGTATATCCATAGGAAATACTTGACGTAAGTTTATGATGATGATATAAAATACAGGGCAATGCATTTTAAATTTCTGATCAAAGAATGAATTTGTGTTTTACTTACCCTATATTGGATTTAAAGATTATTAGCAAAATCAAATCATTTTTACGAATTTTGACAATCAACTGTGGCTACGACAGGTAGTCGTAAATTCCATATATGTATAATACAGAACAACTTTGTATTCTTGTAAGGAGGAAGTGAAGCGGATTTTAAATTTTTTTTTTTTTTTTTTTATTTAAATTTACGTGTCTCGACAACTATGGTCATTGACACGGGAACAAACAAAATCGGTATTTACAATATATGATTAAGCTACAGTTTTGGTACTTTTACAAAATTCGTAAATGTTTTATATTAAATTATATAATTTAGAGTCTCTTAAAAAAATAATCAAAGAGTTCATTGAACCAGGTGAACTAAGTATATCATTAAGGGTACCACTAATATTATGCCGTCGTCGGGTGGAGCTGAAAGTACTGCATTCAAGTAGGATATGCTGTATGGAAAGCCGCGTGTTGTTGCAGCGTTCGCAGACTGGTGGATTTCCAGAACTCATGAGGTAACCATGCGTGAGACGAGTGTGTCCTATTCTTATTCGTCTGATTATGGCTTTGTCTCTTCTTTTTTGTATGGGAATTTGCAGTGGTCGAATTATTGGTTGTATATGGTGTAATTTGGATGTGCTTCTACTCCATTGATCTTGCCAATTTTCCAAAACTGATTGCCTGAAGAGATATTTTAGGTCCTGATGGAGCTGTATCCTTTCGACTGGATGATCAGGGCAATTAGCTTCTTTCGCCGCTTGGTCCGCTTTCTCGTTACCAATAACACCTACGTGCGAAGGAACCCAGATTATGGAGACTGAGGTGCCCGAAGTTAACAGCTGATGACAGTGAACGTGTACCTTATTGACTATTGGGTGTTGTGATCTTAGGGTTTTTAGTGAATGTATCGATGACAGAGAGTCGGTGATTTTAAATTTAATATAAAATGTGGGGTGTTTTATCAAAAACAAAAAACATCTTAGATGTGGTACAGTGTTATGAAGACCCTGTATATTTGTAACTAATTTTAAAATGTGAATCTTACAGTTACCTCCTAATTTTGTAAATAACTTTAATATCTTCGTACAATAACATATATAACAGACTCTTGTCACAAAAGTTGATTATTTTGTGTACGACTGCCAAATTGTAAAATATTAAAGACTATCTAATACACTAGTCAGCTATTCAAACGTGTAAAGTACTTTCAGCCTGTATAATCAATTATTAAGGAAATACATAAACTCAGGTTAAAAGAAGTTCATTGTAGTGTAACATACGTAAAACATATTAAACAAATGGTTAGTTGTAAACAAAATTATAAAAACTAACAAAAATTTATTACCTATGTACCTTACATACGCCTGCATCACTATAAGATCCTCCGTGCACTAACTTTTTAGGTTTTGACTTAGATTACCGTGCCTCCTTTATTTGCTTTCTTTTTAGTTTTACGATTTTTACCTTTCCTCTCCTCATTTTAAGATTTCTTCTTTTTTCCAATGACAGGAATCTATTTTAGCACAGCTTATTTTGAAGACTTACTTGTCGAGTAGTTACTTTAGACGTAATTATTTGTACAGCATTTTGTACTTCTAATATAGGTGGACGATTTGAACTGATCTCGGTTTCAAATGGTTTCATTTCTTTGAGAATTACTTGCATATTTACGCCATGTGGAGATGATCGACCTTAACCAACCTTACCAAGTATATTTTCCATCGATCTAAAATCATTTGAAGTCAGTAGCGGTTTTTGATTACTTTTTGAACCAATATTAAAGTTACAACTTTCTAGATGTTGTGTTATCCTATGACAGTGTCCCTCAAACAAAACCGTGGGAAGTACTGGAAAGTACGAACATTCGTGTTACGCTAATAAATTCTATGAAAGAGTTATACAGGCACACCATTA